TTGCTGCCAAAATGACTCAAGCCTTTTATTTTGGTGATTCTCTGTGTGTGGTGGCAGACTACAGGCATCATGTGCAGCCGGCAGCAGCCACAGAGTCCCAGAGGCCGCCATCCATAACCCGACATTACTGGAGCTCACAGTGGTTCACAGAGAAGTACAGTGTATATGTGTGAGTGTGTGTGTGTGTGTGTGTGTGTGTGTCTGTGTGCTGCTAAAGCAGGACTGCTGGATTTTAAGAACTACTTCTTAGATTACTGGGGCCATTTCCTGTTTGTCCCTTAACTGTATGAGACCCGATGATCATCACATGAATGAACGCCTGCAGGTTTTCCAGAAAAGTGAAAGAAGGGCAAGAAAGAAAGAAAGAAAGAAAGAAAGAAAAAAGAAAGAAACAAAGAAAGAAACAAAGAAAGGGTAATAAAATGCCTGCTTGAAGAGGAGTGGTGGGCATGCTGAGGACAGGGTAGAAGGAGAAAGGTGGAAGAAAAAAGAGAGAGAGAAGCTATGAGAGTCCGGGTAGTGATAACAAGGCCTTTCCCATGACCCCTCCCTCTGGACAGGAACTGAAGCCTGGAAATAGAACGCAGCGGTCCAGAAGACGAGGATACAAAGAGGGAGGGATGGCAGAAAAAGAGAAACAGAGATGATGGAAAAAATAAGAAGAGAGAGAAAAAAAACTAGGAACAGGAAAGAACAAAAGCAGAGATTTGATGGGGGCAAGTCTTTGTGTCAAACAAGTTAGCTGGGTTGCTACTCTCTGTGTGTATGTGTGTCTGTGTGTGTATGTGTGTGTGTGTGTGCGTGTGTGTGTGTGTGTGTGTGTGTTACCTTCATAGAGCTGGGCGTACTGTGGAAATCCCGCTGCCCTAAGCCAATCACAAGCCTCCTTAGCCTCAATCTCTGTAAAGCAAAAAAAGACATGTTGAGTATTACACATCATCATATGGATTTTTGGCAACAATTCACAGTAATAAAAAAAACAGTGTTGTTGAAGTGGGACCTACAATAATATATTTTTTTGTGGAGGAAAGTCCCCTCATTATTGAATTTCCCTCTGAGAATTCCAGTAGACTGATCTGTATTTTATTGTCTGTTTTCCCTATCCCATACTGTGGAGGAACATCTCAGAGAATTACATTTTCCTCTGGGAATTCACTGGAATGATGAGATTGGAAAAGCTGGAAGTGAGCCAGTGAGTGACCCACATTATCTTGGGAGGACAACGGAAGCAGTTTACACAGTTTATATATACATCACATATCATGTACTTTCAAATAATAAACAATCAGATAAACCGGCAATTGGATTTCAGCCGTTAATGGATACATTTAACAAGCCTTACACATGGCACCACACCCCATTAAGTGCTGCCGCCAGCACCACGAGACGTTTTACAGGCATTTGTTTTACTGCTTTTTTCCGCTAGCATATGTATTGCTCACACTGCTAAACTGCCAGCTCTGAAATGTGTGTGTGTGTGTGTGTGTGTGTGTGTGTGTGTGTGTGTGTGTGTGTGTGTGTGTGTGTTTGTGTGTGTGTGGGTATACGTTTTCTTTATGAGCAGAGCTTTGTGCTGACAAAGACATTTGAATGATCTTGGTGCCAGTGATAAAACACAGCAGTGTAAAATATATAATATATACACAGAGACATACATAAGCAGAAAGACATTTACACCTATGCATACACACACATACATTTAAAAAATAAATGTGCAAAAGACAGAGTGAGAAGCTTAAGGTTTGTAGGAAGACATCTTCTAAAAAATCCAAGCAAGTCAAACTAATTATATAAACTGTAAATAATAGACATTAAATGACAAGTAGTTAAGTTCAAAATAATATAAACGTCCACACCTCTTAAATATAACAGAGTAATGTCACTCTCATCTAAAACCCACCAACAGCAATTTCCACAACTTTTCAAAACCCCACTCATTTACTCTCACTTGTCTCATTCACTCATTTAGAGGTGCTGGCAGTGAGAGGGAGAGGCACCGCAGAAACACAGGGGACAAGGTTCAGCAGGGCAATAAAAAGCCTCCGTCTTCATCATCAGAGATGAGAACGGTCAGAGGAAATGATCCCTCTACCGCAATCCAGCAATTACATCCCTCTCCCTGCATTCTCGGCATAACTCATCTCTCCAAATCACATACGAAGAAACACGATGGCAGACTGTGAAAAATATTTTTGTGTGTAACACTCTGAAAATAGACCAGAGACTCTCTCAGAGAAATTCCAGTGAGAAAAAGTTTTACCAGAGAGAGCCTGTAGGGTGAGGAAATCTGAGGAAACGCAGAGAGCTGAAAACTTACTTGAAGCCCTCATGGTGCAGGTGAAGACATGCTTCTATTTCTTTCTCCTTTGCTCAGACTGAAGTTTCCTCTCCATCCCATGGCACATCCACTCGCTGCTATCCAGCTTTCCATCAAGTGGCAACGATTCTGTACTTTCTTCCTCGCTGCCTCTCCAACCCTTCTGTTTACAACTCTGCCTCCCTCTTCCAGCCTGCCCCATGCAGGTTTTCTCTTCCCTCTAATTTTCTTCTCAGCCTCCTCTCTCACACTTTCTGCTTTGTTAGGATCCACATACAATATCTCTCAGCTCTCTCCGCTTTATGCTACACTACACTATTCGCTCTGGTTCTCACTTTTTACCTCTTGTTCATTCTTGTGTGAATTTTCTTATCCCTTCACAATATTCCTCTATACAAAAATACTCCCTCGCTCTTCATCGATCCATCCTCTTTTCTTCTTTCACTGAAACCTCCTCATCCTTTCTTCTTCTTTGCTCCTACAAGAGGCTGCTTGATGCCACCAATTCCACATCTTCTTTGTCATTACCGGAGCTGCTGTTGTCCCATCATGTCCATGGTGGAAAGGGCTAATTTCAGCTGGCGTTTGCATCAGCCTGCCCCCGAGGTCACAGACTGATGACTGGTGGACGCTAACTTCACATGTCAGCTGAACCTACTGGCAGGAAAGCAAGGAGACTCTGACCTCGGCCTCTTTTCTTTTGGTTTACTGTGCAATACTGCAGACCGGGAGAACGCAGTGCGTACACATACAGTCCAGATGTTGCCCCCAGTGAGTCAAAGAATGTAAAAAGGATGAGACAGGCAGACAGCTGGGGTAGGGAAGGCAGCTGAAATGAACAGACCCCGTGGGAAAACCACAAGCAGGAAAACTGTACCACACCAGCCGCTTATTTACTGTATGTGAGATTTAAGAGATTATTGACCTTTTTTCTACAGAAGCCAGATTAAATAAACAGGAGATGCAGATGAAGAGCAGGAGACATTACAAAAAAGAAATGTTAATGGATAAGTCTGGTGATATTATATTTTTTCCTTTTTTTGATGTCAACAAATCCCATTTAAAGACCTAAACCAGAAATAAAAAACTACAATGTCCTGCGGTTTAAGGAAATTACTGAGCCCTTAAAAAAGGGGGTGGTGTAATTGAATGAAAGGATATTGATTCAAAGAGTAAATAATAGTTTTCAAAACCACTGTCCATTTCTCCAAATTGTTTATGTAGAGTAACACATTACTAGAGCTAAAGTTTGAGCTCTTCATTAAGGACTAAAATATGATCAAGTAAAAGTGTTGGTGATCTGCTTCTTAATGTGCTGCTAAACAATGGAAATACTAAATTGAGTTCTTATAGATGAATAAATACACCATACTTGCAAATACATCCTATTACTAATCAACTGACCATAACAATGCTACAAGAACTTCAAAACCCTAGTGATGCATTCAAAAGCAATCAATAGTTATGAAGCCATTGTAGTCCCCAAATATAGTGGGTAAAAAAAGCACAAATAGGCGTTCCACAGTGTTTGTGCACGTGTTATTGGCTATGCATCTTTGTGTTTGTGCACAAAGGTGCCAAGCGGCAAAGCTCAGTGTCAGCGTGAGAACAAAGCATTGCTATTCATCTGTGTAGAATTTAATCAAGAGATTAATTAGTGCACAAACATGTTATTAGTGGGCCACAAAACACACACATGCACACAGGAGCTAATCCAAGCTGCCCACTGTGCTTTTCCCTCAGTCTATTCCATGTTGCTGCATTCCTGCTGTGGAGAATATATGACAACCGGCAGCCAGTCACTAGAACAACAGCAGGGAAGGTGGGCAGATGGTATGTGTATGACTCTGTGTGGGTGTGTGAATATGGGCGTCCATGTGTGGGACAAAGGGGCCGTAAGGTAATTCCTTACATAACAAAAGGTGCCCGCTATGTTACATAATACACATAATACAAGCACCCTAATGTCCTTAGAGTTTTTTTCTCTTAAAGTGTGCCTTTGCCTTTCTTTCCTCTACCTTTCATTTCCTCCCTTTTATCCAACACCAGTACCCTTGACTTTCTGGCATCTTTTTCTCAGCGTTATGTCCGCCTTGTGCTGGGTCTCAAGGACCCTGAAGTGCCTTGCATGACATCATTTCCTGCTCTGAATTTCCCAGGCGTCCAGAGCTGCATGTGAGCTAAGAACAGCAACAGGAAGTTCCTGGACCGAACATGTCAGCAGGACTCAGCTGGGATAATTGTTGGATAGGCCAACGCTCAACAGAGAGAAAAACTAAAGAGTATTTGGTTGATTATACAAAGTTATATTTAACTGATGTTTATTTAAATGAGTCCTTTCAGTCAAAATTAATCTGATAACTAAGAAGAGATAAACAACACTGATACTGGACAGAGAAGAGATAAGTTATTGCTTGTAAAGGCTGTATAGGCATGAACTAAGCATTGAGTCACAGTTCCTCTACACACACACACACACACACACACACACACACAGGATCCCTGGAAAGCAGCCATATTCCCACATACGCTAAAGCACTTAGTCCTTCATGTTTAAAGGTCACAAAGAAAAAAAAGTAGCAAAGAAGGCAGAGGAGGAGTGATGGGAGAGAGGGAGGAAGGAAGGGAGGGAGGGATGTCAAAGAGGAATACGTCTGTCCCGTCCCATATGGTTCATCTGTGATGATGTCAAGCCCTCAAGAATGCACTGTGAAATAGAGTCAACGCTGGCATGAAATGTGTGCAGGTTCAGGCGCAGAGTCTCTTGTGCATCACTGACTGAGGACTGCAGAGGTTCGACAGCACCTGGATATGCAATCTGATAAACAACAGGACTGATGTAAGTTAACAGTTGACCATGATTACTCACAGTACCGAGGTTATGGTGAGTGTTAACAGATTGGATTAATAGGGTGGGATAGGATGAGACAGGAAGACTGTAGGTGATCAAGTTGTGGCTATGCTACATTTTCTCCACCAGAGGGTGTTAAAGCAATGCATTTAGACTCATGTCAAATTATGAAGGCTGTATTTACATGAAAGGGATGTATACTTTTTTATTTATTGTAAGCTGGCTGAAATAGAAACAGTTTAGTGCTCAGCTTGGATTGAGAGTCAGTACAACCTTATGGTTTGGCACAGTAACACTAGTTGTGGTGAGTATTATAGTGAGTGATAGATTAACTTGTATTCAGTGAGAGTTGCTCTGAATAAATGGGGCAGATGCCCGTCAATAAGACTCTACTTTGGAGAGTCACTATCAATGAAACTTTTGTGTGATGTTCACAAAACAGCTTTACCACCAGCCACAATTTTCTTTAATTTTTCGGCAGTTACAAGCTTCTCCATTTCCTTTGTTTATTGCGTTATCGAAGAAGAGTGTTCATTAAAAGCATGCTCAAAAATCAGTTTTTTTTGTATTCTTAGTGTACTGAGTATACTTCATTTTCAGTCACTTTGCCAGTGTCAACTAACTGTATAGTGAAACCTGTTTGGATTTAGTATTGCTTTTGTATTGGATTTTGTATTACTGCTTTTTTCGCCACTTGGAGGCAGCAAAAACCAGCTGTGAAGACAAAATTAAAATATTCTTTATTTTAATTAAAATATTCTTCTAAATTGTCTATTTACACGTCCCATGAATGTGGGTGAGACATTCACTCTTTTTTAGCTCTGATTTTGGTCTCCACCAACTCCTGATGGAAATATCTGGCTTTTTAGCAGCTGTTATGGCCCCTCTATGTTCACCAGCTAGTCGCTAACTTTGTCCATTTGTCACTTGGTGCTGAGCAGGTAATTTACAATATGAAACACTACGTAACAGTAGCTGGGTTCTCATCTGAATGTAGTGCAAATTTTAACTGAATTTCAAGAAAATTGGAAAGAGAAAATGTAAATTAATGCGCATTTCCATCCACCATTATGTGATGATTAGCTGATGATGCTAATTTCCCAGTCAGGTACCACTAAAGCAAACTCCTTTTGACCATATTTCAAGGTTTTTTATGTGCAAATTTAAAATGTGCTTAAAAACAGGTGGATGGAAACCCATCTTGTGTTAAACATAGATATTTGATCCATTGTTATTATAAAAATGATTGATTATATCTTTATATAGGCCATGTATAAATTAACTATTTTATTAATATAAACAATTTCTTTCAGATGTAGGTTTGGTGAGGTCACAGTTCTTTTTTATTTATGTCTGTCTGACACTTTACCAGCTGCTGAAAAGTGGAAGCCAACTGGTGTGTGTGTGTGTGTGTGTGTGTGTGTGTGTGTGTGTGTGTGTGTGAAAGACATGATGACAGTAGTGCAAGAACAAGCAGTATTAAGTTAAATAAGTCATACCATCACTCAAAACCAGCACAGGCATAAACTTGCTTCTCCTTCTGACATTCCTCACCCACCACAGCTGTCATGTCTCTATCTATTATCAATCTTTTTGGATCCTTCATACAAGATTTGGCTCGCACAGACAAATTCATCTGCAGGGGATAAAACAACAACTAACACAAGACCTGACAGGTCTCTGCTCCGTCATGCGACCAGAGCCACATGCCATGGTACAGTAAATTAGAACATTATCTGCAAAACAACACAACAAAAAAAACCTCAGGATACAGAGGACAGTTAACTCTTTTACTACAATGAACTCAACACACGTAAGAATAGATGCTGCAGCAGCCCAAAGCCTCTTTCTGAACACCGGGATGTTTACTCCCCGGGAAACATGAGTCATATGACAGGAAGTTGAGGAAGTTACCATGGAATACATAGCTGACAAGTTGGGTAGGAAGGACATAGACAAAAACAATAACACTACAGTCCTTTAGGGTTTGTTGTGACTTCTTTCAGATTTATGAAAGACATCTTCAGAGGAGAAGTGGCTCCATATGTCCAACTGATTAAAACCATAAATATGTGGGAGCATTGGCAACCTGTAGTATGTAAGCCCTCGCCAATAAAGCATTCTCAAAGAGCATGATGAAACAGAAGATAGTTACTTAAATAAATCTGTGAAATAGGTCAAAAACCCCTCAATGACAAAGACAGAATCTCATAATGAAAAGGTTGCAATCAGAATCCCTCTTTATGTTTTAAAAGCGACACACTGTCTTTATCAAAGCGTACATTGTTTGAATCTTCACCCAGCTCTCCTCTCTACCTCTGAATGAACAAACAGATGAGGAGTTTCGTGAGTTCATCCACACGAGAAATAAAAGCTAATGGGAAATTCTCACTACGTAGGCTTCAAACACTAGACATGGCAGTGTCTAATCTATTCATGTTCCATCTCCCCCTTGTAAAAACAGCTAATAGGAAGAGAAACATACAAGAAATGTGAAAAAAATGACATCACTTAATTAAACTGACATACTTCCTTCCATTTTTCATGAGAGAACATCCAACCAATTAGGTCAAATTCAGACATCGTACATGACACACTGTGATGGACACGGTATCACTTTGCCATAACTCTCTATTTCTACCTTGTGCCAGCCTCCGTAGCAGCTGCTGGCGGGCAATGATGCGGGAGAGGCGCAGGGCAGAGCGCCGTCGAGGGGTGTCGCCCAACCTCAGGTAGTAGTCATGCCCGTAAGGTGTCATGGCCTCCAGACAAGTTCCCTCATTGGTGCTGTCGCTGTCACTCTCGCAGCCATTACTGTCGTCCTTGGCACTTTGATCCATACTGTCCACGAGGTCATCGATTTCCATACTCCTACTGTCTGTGAGGTCAGCACTGTCCGCGCTGTCCTCAGTAAAGACAGTGTCAGCACTCTCTACATCGTCCGTCACACTGTCCACACTGTCAGCGATGGTTACGCTGGTGGGGTGTGTACATTTTTGAACTCTCCCACCAGTAACATCTTCAGCATAGTCAGTTTCTGCTTCATCCCGACAGTCCAGACTGTTTACTGTCTCTTCAGTCCCTGCAGCATTTGCTCTGTGTGCTGAAGTAGCCACACTGTCCATATTCATTGCAGTGTCCGCATCATCCATAACGGTCATACAGCTATCCACAGCCTCCATATCGTAACAATCTGATCCTCACTAATGTACAAGTCTTCCTCCCTCTCGCCCTGATGAGTTGTTGTACGAGTACTCCTCCTGAATTCCTGCCTCTAACATGCCCTCACTGGAAGTCGAATCAGCTCCCCACCCGTCCGCCTCCTCCCTTCAACTCACCACAGCCGAACAAACACACAAGCTTCATCACACCACCTGACTCAGATGACAGACCTTGTTACCCCACCATCACCACCCCCCCACACACATGCTGTTTCTCAGCTGAGATGGTAGGAAGACTCTCAAACTCTTGCTTCCACAGGGTCTTTCCTTTGGTCATATGACCAGCAGCCAATGGCATGAGAGCTCAGGGAACATTTCACCGCTTCCTGTGCCAGAGACGCAATTTGGTACATGCCTTGGGCAAGTGTGCGTCTGTGTGTGTGTGTGTGTGTGTGTGTGTGTGTGTGTGTGTGTGTGTGTGTGTGTGTGTGTGTGTGTGTGTGTGTGAGAGAGAGAGAGAGAACCGCATATCTGGGATGGGAGATGTGATGAGATTGGGGATAGGCCTGGAAAAAAAAACCTTATCCCAACAGCCATATGCCAAAGTAAAATGGGAAAGTGCAGAACAATAGAGAGTATGTGGGTGTGTGAGACAGTGTTGAGGAATGTATGTAGGAACAAACCTATTGTTACTCATGTTGAGTAGGATTGTAATGCCATTCAGAAAAGTTCTCTAAATCCACACCATGAAGTTCATATCACATGACGTTTAACATAACTGATCCAAGTGGTTACTTAAGTGAAAGTAACAATACCACATTACAAGTAAAAGTTCTGTATTCAAAATCCTAGTAAAAGTACATAAGCAGTAACAACAGACTTAAAGTATCAAAAGTAAAAGTACTCTGAGAAGAATGTCTGACATATTGTTAAATGTGTCATTATTAGATTGTTAATACGTTGTACAACCAACATTTTACTGTTATAGCTGCTTAAGGTGGAACTGGTTTGACTGTCTTTGTTAGTTTAGTTTGGGTAATTTAGTCCCAACATATGGGTTACCCCCCCTCTAAATCCCCTCCTCTTGATCACAGTACTTCCATCAAAAATATGTTGTTTAGCAGTTGTAGTCAGAAATGCTCATTTCTGAAATGTGTGACTGAATGTTGCCATACAGTAACTGAGTTGTTGGATAAATTTACAGAATGCGGTGAAGGAGGAGGGAAGTTCATATTTGACCTAGTTTGCTAGAATGGTGAATATTTGCCAGGACTGGAGGATATAGGGGGGCATTTAATTCATTTTAGGGAGCTAATAGGCAGGGGGTAAGAGTGGGGTTGGGGTTGCACATGAAAAGTAGGTCACAGCAAAGTCAATTTTAGGTCAGCAGTCACACACAGGCACCTGATCTCACAGCAGAGAGCCATTACTGTACAGCAGTCTGCAGGTCATACGCTGTCAGAGCGGTACGAGTTTTAAATCTCAGAAATGTGCATTAACCACACATCACATATTGATGCTCAGTCATAGAAGTTGTGAAAACTTAAAATCTGTGATTCAATGTGTGATTTGATTAGACTGCCCTCTTGAGGTTATCTGGGAGAAAATATCACAATTTATCTTCCAAGATTTCTCATTGCAAAACCAGAAGTATGAATAGACTTTGTTTAATTTACTTTTCATGTCAGTCTAAATAAAAAGACAAAAGAAAATACACCCAAAACACCATGCAGAGCACTGAGCAAACCCTCCAAGTGATGCAGGGTACAGCAGGCTGAAGCAACAATATGATAGCGAGCTAAAAAGATGTGTGTAAATGGATTGGCACAGAGTAGGGCTGTAGTAAGCAGTCAGTAATATAATATCCGGCACTCCGTCTCAGTTACAGCCAGCCAAGACAGGACAGAAACTAAACAGGCAAACTGTGGAGGAGACTGAAAAATCAGCTACAGTTATGTTACAGTAAAGATGGATCAAATATATAAAAATTCAGTTTGATACATCTTGCCATTTCAGGAAAAAGCTGCAGGTCACCCTATAAAAAGCCCTTTAGGAGGTTAAAAGTGATCTAAAGGATGACATTAATGAGCTCCACAGTCAGGCATTTCCAAGCTCTGAGCTCTGACTGTCAAAGTCCGGTCACCTTTAATCTTTAACCTATAGACTTAGATACAGCGGAGGCACCCCATTCCTGAGCATCTAAGGCTGCACACGAGCTCAAAAGAGATAAGAAGAAATATCTGAAATGTGACTAGAAGCAAACTAAACTGAATCAATCAGAAAACTGACATGTTAAAATGTGTGTGTAGTATCTTGCTTATTCTGAAGCTGTATAGAAAAAACTGCTCGTTAACACAGGAAAACACGATTCTTTGAGGGAAAGATGAGAACATTTACCTTTTACAACTTTTACTAAAGGCCGGAACCAGAGATGAAACCTCAGTTTGTTGATGAAGCCTTGAGATTATCTTTAAAGCATGATGAGGCAGCTGAATTTCGTTTCAAATGCATTCAGGGCTGTTAATGAGACACTGTTAAACAATCAATGTTTTTCCCTCACAGCTTGCTGAGTTTTCTCAGTAAAGCAGCGAAAAAGCACCAGGTAGGTGAGGCGGCAAACTGATAGAGTGAGAATGATGACTAGCTGTAAAGAAGTGATGCAAGGGAAAGGTTTAAACTCATTTACCGGCATCCATGTTTTCTAACAAACACACACACCGACACTCACACCGAAGCAACTAAGACCCACAAATCCCACACGCAAAAGGGAGATTCGACCCCCACCGCTAACCTAAAAATCTGTGGGATTACATCTAAATCCAGGTGCTATTGTGTGCTCTCAGTTTTCACACACGCACACACAACATACAGATGATTGAATGGAACCATTACCACAATCGAATCCACTATGAGATTCAGTCAGTTGTTTAATCTAGGTGATATATGAACTGTTTTTGTCGGCATAAGCGCTATGCTATATGTGCATTTGTTCTTTTATACACTATTTTGCTGCTGCTTTTCTGCTCCTGTGTCCCTTTTTGTTCACTTTGTGTAGCAAAACTAGACATACTCTGGTTCATTTACAGTTTTTCTGTTGTTCAAATGGCAAATTCCCCCCTCACAAATACAGTTTCATTATGAAAACATTTCCACAATTCCTAACCCTGACTTCCTTATATTACCCGCCATTGCTTTGACTAATGCATAGAGTGGAAAATGCATTGCTGAATACCAGCATAACAGAGAGGCCAGATGTGCACATTTTAAGGATTCCCCATTTCAAAATCTGATCCAGACAGATGTGAACTGTGTGCCTTGTGAGCTGATGGGTTAAGCAGTGGGATGAGGGAGGGCTTTTGGAGGAGGGGCTGTGGGTTTTGGGGTCTGGCTAGAGGACAGGAGGTAGAAGAGGTGAGAAACTAGGGTAAAGAGGATTACTTAGGGCAGCAGGTGTTCTCTGATGCTCCATTTGTCCGATATTCCTCTCTTATTCATTCATTGTGCGCAAAAGCATCACATAAGCAAAATTCATCACAGTAATTATCCATCATGCAATACCGAAAACGATGCACAAGTAGACTTCTGCTGGTCACACATGAGATCTATCACCGCTGCACTTGACAGACACGGCGGCTTTGAGCGACACCGTGGCCTGGGGCGGTTCGTGGGCTTGTGAATGTGGGAGTGTCCGTCGTTTAATTTGCTTAAGAGGCAGACATCTCGGTAATTACATTAAACCGAGGAGACAGATGCAAGTCGCTCTCTTTATTCCCTCACTTTTCTCCTTCTCCTCCCTCTCTGACGCACAGCTGAGTGGGAGAGAAAGAGAGAGAGAGAGAGAGAGAGAGAGAGAGAGAGAGAGACGTCCAAACTCTGCGCATCCAGGCCACTGTGTATATAATGCAAACCGACTGACCCTCCAAACTTGGTGCATTGGCGCACACAATTTTTAACTCCGTGCACATATGTATGAAATCCTAAATCCTAAATACCCCCTCGCCCCCCCTCGAAAATGCAATTAACAAAATAAACCATTCTCCAGATTAGGACAACAAATGCAGAGTGATTGGTATCTTAACCCCCGGCTAGACTCCTGTCCGCAGCACATGCCTGCGCTGTTTGAGCACTATATTTGACAATGACCTTCCCAAAATATCAGGGAGCGCGCAGCGCATGACGCTATCAGGCATAACACAGGGGCTATATGCAGCACATAGACTAAGATTAACTTTTGTTTTCGATTTCATTCTAATAATATTCAGCAAAATTGTTTTAAATGCCCAATATCCCGCAAATAATAATGCGGGGAAATTGTGGCCAGTCAGAAATCCACACACACATAGGCTACATCTGTTTAATTATTTAAACACTATGGGGTGTCTTAGGGTAGCGGTTCACGACTCGTGCTTCTGTGGCCCAACAAATCAATTTGACAGACTTGTGTCAGTCAAAATGAGGATAAACTGCATTCCGGCATATTAAAATAAGTTTCACTTCCATTTGGTTTAGGCTCTCTGACCTGCCAGCCGTCTCTCCCGGACATTCCTCCACAGCAGATCCCAAGCCTTGGACGTGGAGTCCCGCAGCTGCTCGCTGATCGACCGCCGCAGCTGCAGCTTGGCAGACCTTCGCTGGGTTGTCATTGCGGTGCAGCCGGACGCATATTCCCTGACAACGAAACCAGCGCTCCGTCAACAAGCCGTTATTCCTCAATCCCTCCTATTCCCACTGTGGATAGCCCCGGCTGGGACAGTGCGCACCCGGCGTCCGCTGCTGCCGCTTGCGTCTGGCTGCCGCAATGGTCGTTACCGCTCCACCTGGTATAAAAGCTCCTCTCGCGCTGCGTCACCTTCCTGCACCACCGAAGGCGGATGAGGATTTGTACTCACTAATACTGAGTTAATTCATCCAGCATTTCTGCCCTCCTCACCCCCCTGCCAGACTCATCTACAGCAGCCGGTAGGGCGAAGGTGCAGCAGTGTTTCAGCATAACTTCTGCATGTGAGCCTGGACCTCTGACATGACGAGCCAGATGTGAGAGGCGGTTTTCCCCCTCCCCGTATGTGAGACTCTCTCTCTCTCTCTCTCTCTCTCTCTCTCCCTCCTTCTCTCTCACACACTGACCAAACGTACATGCTCTCCACGACCCAAACCCACACCCACCCACCCAAACAAGGATCTCTTTCAATCCCCTTGATACACACACACACACACACACACACAGTTGTGTAAAGCTTTTCTTAGCATCTCTGGCCATTCCGTCACAAATTTGACCTTAGAGCTGCACAAATTGTAGCAACAGACATGTTGCGCATCATAGTTACAGACTTCAAGATCAATTTCCATATTTTTCGTTTTACTTCCCTTCTTTTCAAATCGATTTATGTTTCAAATCTTTAAGAAATAAACCAAAAGAAGTTACCAAAACTCAAGCTGCAAATTTTGTCTCATCAGCTGCCAAAAACAAAAAAGGTATGCAATTTGCAAGAACAGGAAATGAAGAACAGCAGCAAATCCATTTAAGAAGTTGGATACAGTAAATATTTGTATTTGTATATTGTAGCTGCACTATTAGTGTCTTTCTGTCATGTTAAAGTTGTCTAAAAACACAACAAAAGGAATCCAGGGGTAAGTTTTGTAAGTGTTTCAGCGTTTTCAACTAACTGAACAAGTGACTGCATCACAATATAAGTGACTGAATATGTGTTTGACACAGATGAAGAGGAGTGAACTCAACAGCTACTGACAACCTGAAGTGAAAGTGCACAAACATCAACTGTCTGAGCTGCCTCTCTTTTTGTGAGTTCACCCGTCTGACAGCAGGTCAAGGGTTTTGGGAATTTCATTCTGAGCTCTGAGTTACTCCCGTGTTATCCCCGGAATGCCAGACAGAGTGACCAGACCAGGCCAGGACGCTCCTCAGCTGCCGTCCGCCTGACACCATCGGATGTCCTGTTTGTGGGGTTGAGTTCCAAGTCAGCACGGATCCATGAGTAGAGACCTGATTCGACATTTCAGCCTGTCGAAACACGCTTGACATCCCAACTAGTCAGCAGAATCCTGCACTTATCTGGACACCGAATACCACTTTACTGGTTGACTGTCACAAATGGGGCAATGAATTATCGCTTGTGGACAATTTAATCTTCATCCAAAATGTGATTTCTGCTGTTGGATTGGTTCCCCATCAAATATACAGTATACCGCACACATGTTGAAGGGGAAAGTTTTTCAAGGCTGGAGTTCATGGCCCTACTTTTCCTCCCTTGCCCTGCCATGGCCTGGTGTCAGATGACAGTAAAGCTGTAGAGAGACTGATTTATATTCCTGCGTTACACTGCTGAGACCAGGGTGAGATTCATGGCGGGCACTGGCAGTCAGCAGTGATGAGAGGGAAAGTGGTTTAGAACCAGAGAATGATGAACTTTGAGTAGCTTAGTGAAGACGAAATTAAAAAAGGAAGGAACTGAGGAGCGGAGGGGAGATGAAGGCAGAGTCGATTGACAAGACCATAAAACATATAGAAGACCCGATGTAAGAAGAAAAAGAAAGAAAACACACTAAATGACACACATGGAATAAAACCTTCTGATGAAATTTCCTTTTCTGTTTGGTTTGCTTCTAATAAAACAGCTTATGGGATTCACGAGCATTGTATTTGCAAATAGATGATGAAAGTCACACGGCATGTTTCTTTCACATGTAATTATACTCAAAAATGAAAGGGAGGAGACTGGGAAAAATGAGTCAGTATTTCTGGTGTTTGACAGACACACACTGCAAAACAAGTTGAGTAAGACTTGTACAATGTCTTCTTATTATAAAGACGCCTCTGTTTACAAAGTAAAACAGTTTTTCTGCTTTTATTTTTGTTTTTTTTCTGAATATTAGGATCATAGAATCTATATGTCCCCTAAACATACAACAAGACATTTGACAATGGTATTACACATACAAATGTCAAACATAGCTGCAACTAACCTTTATTTGCATCATTGATTAATCTGCGGATGATTTTCCCGATTCATTTCTTGACAAAAGCCCCTCACAACATCTGAAAGCCCAATATGACATCCTCAGATTTCTTGTTTTGCCCGACCAATTGTCCAAAACCTAAAGATATTGTGCTTAGGATCACATAAGTCAAAGAAAAGCAGCAAATCCTTACAAGTTAGAAGATGGAGCCAGGGAATTATTGACATTTTTGCTTTCAAAAAGATGACTTAAACGATTAATCAATTATTAAATCAAAATTTATATTCATTAACTAATCAATTGTTATTTCAACTTTGGCCAAATATTAGACATTTTGAAAATTTTCTCAAGGGTAAGCTTCTACTTTATAGCCCAACTATTGATTGGCGGACGCAAGCAGCTGGAACAGTTGAATCAGCTCTATTCGTTGCTTTGGATCACGAGCTGGCGAGAGACCAGATATATGCAGGCGTACAGCATTGATCTGTGAGCAATAATGCCAAGGATCCATTAAAAGAAGATGTAAGCATTGGATGCTGTCGTGCAGGCTTGTATTTCAAGTGGGAGAGTACTAATCATGATGAGGAGGGGACTAAAAAAGCAGACAAGAGAGGAGGTGGTGAACCTCTGTGAGAAAAGAGAGAATATTGAAAAGATGAAGACAGCATATGAGGGGATATAAGACTGCGTGGGACTAAAGCGTGTACAGTTACAAGATGAACAACCAAATGTCTTTAAGAGAGTCATGAAAGACACACTCTCCTTATTTCAGACTGTATACATACAGTCACAGTGTCTGTGAGCCTCCTGCTGATTTTTGTAAGAACCAACATTTGCTGACATTTCCCTGGTGTCTCAGATATTCAGGGAGAAGACAAGATGGCACAGGCTTCCATCCACTAAATAGTTTAACGAGTATCAAAACTGAGCGAATCATATGCTATGACCTTCGCGGTCACGAGTCAAACACCAAAACGAGGGAACATCTTTTGGAAAGAATGATGTTTTAATCCCTCCAGTGGAGTTTCAGAGACTTGGAGAAGAGCACTCAAGTTGTTCTCAATCAGAACAAAGTGGCCTTATGTTTAAAAATAATAAAATCTAGACTAGAGTGGTAGTTACAGTCGCAATTAGACCTAATAGGAATAGTCAGGTGCTATAAGGGCTAAATGTGTTGTTGTTACATGATAAGTTGCTGAATGGTGGAAAACTTTTCTGTCTCTTTATATTCTATCAATCGAAATATGGACATGGTGATGAGATAAAGAAAGAACTTGCTTTGAATGATGCTTTTGAATGTGTACTTTAAATATATAATTTTACATTTGCAGTAATTTCGTCGAAGAAGAACAAGTATGCATGCAGATGTTTTTTATGAAACAATATCTATAGAAATACGACGTTGTTTGTATGACTGCATGCGTGTAGTAGAAATTATGTCAACTGAATTGAATTGAATTGAATTGAATTGAATTGAATTGAATAATAACTGATGCATACATACACCAACAAAGGGTATTTTACAACCATGAAACACAGCGTAACACGAAAGTGTAACATAAACCTTGAAGGTACCAGACAGAGTGACAGTAGGGCAACAAGCTTTCTCAGCACTCAAAGAGATATAAACACATTACGTTATGTACAGACATGAATAGAAAATTTATGTAAATATAGTACAAATATAAAGCATGCATAATGTATAAGTGGATGCACATGTATTCAGTTTGCATATCCACACATTACCTTGTGACCCATGTTCCCTGTGCAACTGTGTGTGGGCTGCAGGATTAAAGGATTTTAGCACATTATCACAGCCACCAGGCACAACTGGCTTATAATCAGAACACTCTGACATAACTCGGAGGAGCAGAAGATTAAGTACCACTGACATGTTCTGCCTTTTCTTAAATCCATTTAAACCTATACTACTGATCTGTAGTTCTACGGTAAATTTATTGGTAAAGGAGGAGAGTAACTAAAAAGATGCCCTGAAACATGGTCTGGGTTTATGGGTTACAATTTAAATTTCACACAGGATAGTTTTGTGCAAATATAATCTATAATCTTATTTTGAGAGGATGCAGAATCACCGATCAGTATTCTCTTTCTTCTTCTTTGTGTCCACTGATTTAACATGTGATTTTCAGTTTACGTGTTTAGAAGAGTACTTCTCAGCCTGTGAAAACTTCATAAAATTTCTTCTGAGGCCGATACTAGTGACTAGGACTAGGATATCTCGACCAACTTCATAGAAATTAAATACTCCATCGCCGTAGTGCCTCTTCAAGAAAAATATGTGATTTTACAACCTCTATCAGTGAACAAGGAATTATGACATAAATGGATTAGTGTATGAGATTTAGTGGCATCTAGCGGTGCAGTTGCAGATTGCAACTGACTGAACACCGCTCGCGTCCGTATTTGATAACCTGGGGTTTAGAACCGGCTGTGAAGTGTGTTGGAGGAACTACGGTGGCTGCGAAACTCACGAAAAACGTGAATGGAGAATTGTCAAATAGTATAATGTCTAGCACCAGTAACTCACCTGCAGCGCTGTCTCTATTTCAGCAGTTGGAAACACAATCTGACTGCGTGGCAGAGATCAAATCTCTAAAACTCTTAGTTCTGACCACCCCTAACTATTTTGTGTTTCTGAGGCTGAGAGACAGACAGAGTGAGAAAGAAAGGGGCCACAGGTCAGAAATTAAACACTTCTGTGGGAAGGCTATAAAACTTCCAGTGACTTTGATCCAGGGTCAGTTTTGTATTCGTCCTCTGTGATGTTAAAGGCTATGATATGCGGATTGGTAAGCTGGTCCTTGAGGTCAACCTCTACCCCGGGCAGGGAGAGAGAACACCACAGGAAGACTGTCTCACAGCAGCAGCCAATCAAAACACCAAACTAACACATTCCAAGGGCTCAAACAGCCAATCAAAGCAGCACAATGGACATGTTCTGGACAAGACCCGGGATCTGATTTTCAGAACAAATACACAGCAGAGCATGGGCGTCTCCACTGGGAGAGCAATCAGATCTTGCAGTGGTTACAAAAATGGACAGTGCTGGTTTGGAGAGGGCTGCTGTCTTCTAGAGGCAGAAAAAAAGGAGTGGGAGGAGAAGGTGGAGCAGGGGGAGGAGGTTGAGCTTCTCCCTCTTCGTCCTGCCAGGTCATCTAAGGTTAGGAAATTGTGTCAAATAAGCACAAACTGCATGTGAGAAGATGCTCAGAGCCCTCTTTGTTTTCGTTAGCTCCAATGGGTAGAGATTATTTAAAAAATACTAAAACTTAATTATTTCTAAATCACAATTACAAATTAAGACACAATATTTAACATGTATGCATTAAAATGTCTATAAACACTAAACCTATCTTACATATTTTGTTGAGTTGTGTACTTTACACATTATCCCACATGTTTCAATGTTCAAACTCAGAGAAATCTGTAATTTTATTCAGGTGTTAATAGCAGTTAGTGGCCTTTGCCACATTTTTACCATACACTTTTTAGACCTTGCTCTAAAAAGGACTGCTTCATTCCGTGTTTTTACCGATTTTAATCACTGGGTCTGTTTGTTTTGCAGAGGAGGAGAACCTCTCACTGAAGGAAACCTAAATGGGAGAAGCTGACTGACCTAGCTGCAGAAATTAGGTATTTTGAATAACTTTGTACATTCTGAGCATGTTATTCCTCAAAAAAAAAAAACAACAGTTTCTATCACTGAGACTCCCGAACTATGATTGCCTTACTGTAAAAAGTCATATGGATGTGCGCATATGCACACAGGGTCTGGGTTAACGAGTTCAGGCTAATCAATAATTTAACAGATCACGTGATCACAGACTGTGACAAAAGCATTTTGTGCACCCCACTCCTCTCTTCCAGCTTCCTTAAATTAGCATGTCTGCTCAGCTACCCCCTTTCAATTCCTCCTCCTTCTCCTCCTTCTCCTCCTCCTCCTCATCATCCCCGCTCATTTTTTTCTCCTCTTCATCCCCACCACTCTCTCCCTGGTCTCTGTCTTCTATTTTCAGCAACACTCAGTCATTCAGGCCAAGCTGCTCAGCTCTCTTGACTCTACTGTTTGAGACTGAAACACACAAGCAATCGTAACCCGCCTGTACTTGAAATCTTGAGGTGCACTGCAATCAGAATTAAACAAATGGGAAATCCAGATGGAGAATCATCTTTATACAACATAAGAATCCAGAAGCATTCCTCATCCAGTAAAATAAATTGTCAGGAGCTTGTTACCTTGAGAGAGCAGCACCAGTCTGCTTAAAGTGGAAAAACTCCAGATTAACAGATGGCAATGTGTGACCTTGACCTAAATTCCTAGCTCATATTATCTGTTTGTAATGATCCTTGAGAGCATAAGCACACACACACACACACACACACACACACACACACACACACACGAACACACACAAACACCTAATCATCTAACTTTGAATCACATAGTAATTCCATATGTTGCTCACTTCCTCAAAAAACATTTTAAGAGCTGCAGGATTCAAATCACAACACATGTTTATGTGTTTACTCATGGTCGTGTTCTTAACCTTCAGCAACCTAACATAAACTGGAAACCCGAATATTTACATTATAACGTCGCTTCTAAATAAATTAGAAACTTTTAATGAAAAAAAAGCTCAATCAGTGCACAAATTGCACAAAGAAAATATGCCATTATAGATCTATGCTTTAAACGTGAAATTGTTAAAATAAAATGTGTTTAGTATTCAGAGTTTATGTTGTCGTCTTGACCCTTGACTTTGATACGCCAGAGAGACACTGTGATTGAAAGGTGCTCCTTGCAAAAACTAAAGGCAGTGACGACTCAGCAAGAGAGGAAATGAGGAGGAGAAGAGAGACGATGGTGGCACCGGAGATCAGAGTAGAGATGACCCAAATTAAGTAAAACAATAAAAGATGTGAAGTCATTTTTGTTAAAAGCTTGAAGACATTTGACTTTCCAGTGGAAGAAGGAGAACGTCTGACTGGAAACTATTCAGATTTTCCTGCCTGACATTTGAGTTTGATCAGCAGGCGTCAATAAAATACAGCACAGTGGAAGAAATAATGCATATTTTTTTTATTATTCTAGGATCTATATGCTTATCGTGTGTTATCATAAAACAGCCAACATTATACCCATCTGTTCACATAGGCTTGAATCAACAGTATCAGCGTGTCTCTGTCAATATTTCTGCACCAGCTGTCAAGGAATGCTGCTCTGGTCAATTCCTACAGAAAAATGGGCCAAGAAGAAAGTGGGTCAGGAGCTAATTCAGAGTGTCTATCCCCCACACTCTCCAGTAACAACAACAACAACTTCCCTTGTCCAGCCTGCAAAGATAAGTCTGTTGACATCGTCCACCTCCTATTCTGGAGACTGGATCACCTACAGCAGGAGATGGCTATCACTGTGGCCTCCTTGAGGGGGTGGGGGGGACACAAAGCAGAGGTCTCGACCTGAGGACCAAGGAGGAGAGATGATACAGATGGGAAATAGGGGGAACCAGGGCTGGGGTATAGGAAGTAGACTCACCCTGAGGTATAAAGTATGGAACTGAATGAGGAGGGTTGGACGTCGTATTTGGAGATAGACGTCAGGGGGTGAAAGCCGAGTGTAAAGGGCTACAGGGTGCAGACTGTGGTATGGAAGTAGCAGGACCTGGGGCAGTACCAGGAGGGGAAACAATAGCTAATGGACACAGAGGAAACTCCACAGGTCATGGTAGTGCAGATCACATACTGATAGGAGGCCTTGTTGCTGAGTGTCTCATTTTAAAGGCACTTAAGCAATATGCATATCGTGAGGTTTTTAACTGTTAAAATAAGCATTATAACAGGAAAATCCTCAAGGATCAACTTCCTTCCTCACAGCCTTTCCATATGCTAGTATAGGGTTGCAAGACCACACACAAACACACAAGTGTGTACAGGCAAAACACAAATATGCACTCAGATGTATACCGCAAAACACACATGCCAACACATGCACACACAAAAACATAAGTAGTATAAGTAGGTAGCACATTAGCTGTGAAAACATAATGGTATTTTTGTTTACAATCCCCATATTGATGACATTATAACATTACACACACATACGTGTATAATTATAGTTAAACAACAAGACTGAAGAGTTGTATATATATAGGCTAGATTCGGAAGAGACAGAATCGGCCAGCACCAAACAGCAGACCGATTTTTTATTCGACATTCATCGTGTGCACACGAACAAACATATCTCCAAATGAATGCTAACATTTCTTCAAATCTGCTGGATGTCTACAGAGAGAACTCTTTTCTAACATGTCAACAAACAATTATTACCAACCACTTAATCTGTAGTTAAAACTGAAAGTGAGCACACCTGAAATAAAACTGCACAGGAAAACTGTGCATCCACAACTATGTAAGTACGGTAGGTCAAAGTTGAACCGGGAGGTTGAGTTGTAAACTGTGATGAATGTTTCCAACAAACAGTTTGGGTAATAATTTTACTGTTGGTCTTTGTTTTCTTTTCCAAATAAGTTTGGCTAACCTGGTGTTTCTTTGAAAACCTAGGCGACGCCAGAATTCATATGCAACAAGAAAAAAGCAAACAGTTACAGTAAAACAAACCAAGATGGAAAATAGACATAAACAAAAAACAAAAACAAAAATCACTGCAGAGGTCGAGTTACAGTTTGAACGGTCAGAAAAGACAGCAGAGGGCACAAAGGCAGAGGAAGAATGAAAAGGAAGACGTGAAGGAAGAAACAGAGGGAGAGACCGGGACCACAGCCAAATCCACTTCCAGCACTGCTGCACACTGCTGCAATATTCAACACACACACACACACACACACACACACACACACACACACACACACACACACACACACAAACACACACACTACGCACTCAGTTAATAAGGGACCTCCTAGCATCACAAACCTTTAATGTATTCACTCTGGTGGGTCTACCCATCGCAGCTGCTAACACATGCACCCACGCACACACACATTAACACCACTACAAGCCACCATCATTAAGTTTACTGCAAGTTAATTGCAGAGCTAACTGCTTTTCTGTGTGAGGTATCTTATGTATAACACACAGTGGCAGTAGTAGAGGTTTTTAATGAACACACCCACAGCATTCATAGACACATGGACAGACTGAACCCTCTAAAAAGAAAATGTCAAGGGAGTGTGTGACTTTATAAAGAACTATAACAAGAGAAAAACATTTGGGTTAAATATCAGCATGACATTGCCTCTAGGAAAATGTGTGTCAGGAGTCTTCTGGAGCCATAAATCAGCTGAATCCCTCCAGTCAGACATATTAAAAACATATTACAGACATACAACGGACACACTACAAGGATTCACAGGCCATAGGTCGAGATTACCCACAGCCTCCCCAAGCGCTTTCCAATAAAATGAAAATTCTGATGGATTATATGTTTTTTTTATAATCCTGGACTGCAGTGAAAGTATAGAGAATGTGTGTCAGTGTGTTTGTGGTTCAGGCCAAGGTCATCTGTAGCTTATCAGCGGCTCTAAAATAGCAGCACTGAAATATCTTTGAGAGGTAATTTTTACCTAAGCTGTGCACTCATCCAGCTGGTCTTAAAACATAAAACTACATTCATATACTGGAACCAAACTCCCAATAATGAAATGTAGTTTCAACTAGAAAAGCAAATACAATGCATATGTAGCCTATACTGTACACAAAAAGTTTCATTCACACAAAGTAAACTGCAGAAACATGTTTGTTTCGATAATGCCAGATGACTAAATTTATATACAGTTTTCTTTCGTTGAAACCACACGTTTTATACACATCAATGCACTGGGGAGTGGCCCATTAGAGTTATTTTTACTGATCAAAGGTGGGACAAAGTCATTGTTTCGCAAGTCATAAGTAAATCTTAAATCTTGGCTATAAAATTTGTCTGTCTGGTCTGCACTGCCAAATATGTCTCTCCTTCCTGTGAGCGCAACTTGATTGGCTGTTCAAGTATTCAAATTTCAAATTTCATCCAGCGTGTACGATAGGGGCAAATAGGGGTGTATGCTGTGGTTTCAATACCCTCCCCATTTACTCTCCCGTTCCACGAGTATAGGACAAACTACAGTGGCTGTGAAACTCATGAAAAACACGAAAGGCCCTATCTAGAGCCAGTGTTTGGTTTGTCTGTTCTGGGCCACTGTAGAAACATGGCGAAAAGTAAGAGAAGAGGTGATTATACACTAATGAAAACATGCCTAGATAATAGATATTTAATAAATCCCTACTAAATGTTACATACTAAACCTTTAAATGAAAAACAAGAATAGATTTCCTGCATTCTTTTTTGTAACATAATCTTCATCTTTGAGCATGGGGAGGATATCAAGTAATTCAAGTAAAAAAATCAAAGTCCAAGTGAAGTCATTGGTACTAAAATCAAAGCCAAATCTTTTTGACTGGATTTGTGGCTCGAGTCCAAGTTATCTGCCTCAAGGCCACACCTCTGCTTAAGATTATCACTTCTTTTTTGATTAAACTGGAAACTGTGTCATCTTTTAAGCTGCTTTGAGCTTTGTGGTCACTGGTTCTGGTGTCTCTGTCCCCAGAAATGTGCGTGCACTCATGCGTTTTTGAATTAACATTCTAAAAAGCTACATTTCTCAATTTCCCCATCTATTACTGAGGCAACACTTTCTCTGCTGACAAGTGAGAACTGAAGTTATAACTTACTGTATAATGAGATTTAGTCATCACTTGCACAGCTGACTTGCATGTGGTTCCAGGTTATTTCAAGTGAGTCATTTGTTGAGACAGAAATGATGCAAAATTATGATCTTTTCAACAATATAATGATAAAATAACATTATGGCCTCTTAGCCATGACACAAGTCGAAATATTTTCCTTATAAGCTTTACCCATTACTGCTATACTCCCTGACAGGTGAAAAATGTAATTATTTTTGCATTGTGAAATACAGAAGATCTCTATGTTACTATTAACATAAATAAAATATGATACAATCTTCTGAGGTCATTATAGGCACATGAGTTTAAGCTTCAGAAATTTACAAAAGAAAATACAATAAACTAACCCTCTTAGTATCTCAGTGCTTCTGCAAAGATTTAATTGATTAAAATTATTTTCTTTTTCATGACTGTTGTAATAGTAACTTCAAGGTTTCAGGTTTTCAAGGTTATTTTCTTGTAAAATAGATTCAGACATAGTTCCCATTATGCTACTTTTATAAACAAAATAAAAATTCATTAACGAGTCATTATTCATTAATAGTCTCACAGCCAGCAGGAAGAAGCTGTCTTTAAGTCTGGTGGTACGGCAGGGGAAAGACACCAATGATATTTGACAGGTCAGATAAGAAACAATCACATCAAGCAGGCAAAATAATCTGTAATCCAAGTTTAGACGTGGGTTAAAATGTTGAAAACATTGTTTTTGCTCATGTGTAGTCCAACTGAGGTAACAGTCAGCACCATGGAGGTGATCTCAAATATTAAGAGGTCATTGAAATGGAGACAAACTTGAGATCAAGTAAAGCGATTAAGTATCCTTACAAAAATACTCCTCCGTTATAGAATATTAATTATTCAGAAAAAAATGTATAGAAAATAAATCCATTCATCCTTGCAGGGATTAAAACATTTTCCTCGGTGGCTTGAGGGCTGATTCGATTTAAACCGCATACTGTCATGGCACGCATTCCCTGTCATACACGCCCAGAGACATTCAAGAAAAAAGTGACACTGAAAAAAAAACATCAAAGGTACATGCTGCAGATTATTACAAACACCTACAGCCAGATAAAGCGACCCCACCAGCAGAGATCACAGGTAGCTCTGGTTAGAACTCCTGAGAGGAATTCCCCGTTTATCTGGCAGAGAGCGGAGTGAATGTCAGCTATGTGAGCAGAGATATGTGCATATCATATCCTGTCCCTATGCAGCTGAGACTCAGCCCACACAGGCCGAAAGCCACTGATTGATTAGACAAGATTTCTGTCCAAGTGTTTCCTCATATCAGAGGAGAAAATAAACACTCTCAAGTGAGAAAACAAACCTGAAGCACAAAACCCCAAACAATGAAAGTAATCTACACTCAGCACTGTCGTGTTTGTATGAAATGTTTCTGTCTCTCTCCCTCTCTCTCTCTCACACACACACACTCACTCTCGTCATATGCCACTGACGGCATCACCTCTGACCTCCCTGCAGCCTCTTGGGCCTCATTACCCACACTGCACCTCTCCTGCGTGGACTATCATTGACAGTAATATGACCCTTGGTACACACATAATACATGCACACACTCACAAGCATGAAGACGTCTAAAAGCTCACACACACACATACAGACAAAACACACAAAAATAAACAATGCTGCAGCGCAGCGAATGCGAGACCTCTCACTGGGTTCTACTTAAGTACAGTCGCCATGACGCCTGTGCATGTCAATCAAAGGGGACACACACTGAGGATAAGAGATACGGACAGGGGTCAGAGTTGGACTCATTAATCATCCTCTCAGACTCTTCTATCACCATCTCTGGGAACTTGAGTCAGAAATTCAAAGACAAAAATTCAATACCAAAGAGAAATAAATATATTAATGTTCTTTTTAACAAAAGAGACATGTTTAATTAGAAAACCTGCTTCTGTTCTGCTGAAGGAATGATAAGCTTCTGACTGTTATCACACGACAAATTCTACCAAAACTTCAAAGCACAAAGTGTTTGTGTTTCTTTGTATGAGCCTGCCTGCATATCTGTGTTTATGCACCTGAATATGCATGTGTTGTGTATGTGTACAGGCAAGGCTGTATGTGTGTGTGGTGCGTGTCATAGTAGAAACAGTATATCATTACTTCTGGGTGGTTGAGGTTTGACATACTGGCTGGGAATCCTGTGGGAGACATTCCCAGAAGTCCAGTTTTATCCCAAAGCGGGAATGCAAACAATCTAACTGAATGGAGAGTGAACGCACACAAGAACAAACACACACACACACACATACACACACACACACACACACACACACACACTCTCTCTCTCTCTCTTATCGTACCTGCTGATCCACTGGTCATCCTTGCAGCAGCCTGAAATGGAAAACAAGAGAAGAAATAAACAATTGAGTACCAAAACAAAAGCAATAAAACATACAAACTATTTTCACATGAACACTCTAAAGCTTTGGAGAATGTAAACTCAATATCAGCCAAAGGCAATGACTCAGTTTCCCTGATAAACACTCTCCTCGTGCAGCAGTAGCTACGCTGGGAAAATGACCCAATTTGCAAATCTGGTTCAACCAAAAGAAACAGATTTCCTGAGTGTTTATGCCATATGATCATATGAAAACCCACCAAGCCCCAAAAGCTTATTTGTTTGAATATTAACCAGAGATTTATTGGAAAATAAAAAAAAGGGGGGGGGATCACATGTGAAGAATGTGTTTAATTGGATGACGTCCCCTTGATGAATGAGACTGAAGTCCCTTTCAAGACAAGCAACTTAAACCATAATAAATTATGCAATTAAATTAGAGGAAATTAAAGAGGATGTTGCATATGTTTCTGTGAGTTTGTTTGTGTGTGTGTGTGTGTGTGTGTGTGTGTGTGTGTGTGTGTGTGTGTGTGTGTGTGTTTCTGTGTTCTCTTGAGAGCTGATTTGGAAAGAAGAGAAGGAGAGAAAGAGGACATGATAGAAAAGGGAACCAAAATAGATGATGGTACGGGAAAAAAGTAACATGAGTAGAAGAAAAAAGAGGGAAGGGGAAGACAAAAAGATCAAGCCCAGTAGCAGTAAAATCCACCAGCAACAACCCATGACTCAAATATTCACAATATTAACACAGGAAATTAAAGCTCAGACTCTGATCATGAGGAGTACATTACACACATACACACTCCCAGAATCCACAGGACTTGACAAACCATAAGAATGTAACAGCCCAGATGAATGTCTTAACCAGTGTGAAACGTTATCCCAGACACTGCCAGTGTCACAGGAAAACCCCACGTCCTTAAAAAGGTCTTCAGGAGCCGGGAATTACTAAATGATGCACCTGCAGTTTTGCAATTACACAGGAAATTCTGCATGATTCCCATGGTTTTCCTCAGCCCTGAGATCATCTACTGTAAATTACTAAGCAAACAAACCATCATCTCCCCTGTCAATTCAAGTTTTAAAAAGACAGAGGTGTACTAAAATTTGAATGTCATATAAAGGCAGTGGTTTACATGTTGTTTCGCATGTTGTGACAGCTTTCGGTAACTTTAAAACATAGACGTTTTTATAGCAGGAAATTCTCTGATTTATTAATGAAATCATCTCTTACTAAACAGAGAATATCCAACCATAACTCGTTTAAATCTAATGTTTATATAATCATGATAAATAACTGATGTAGAATTTCTCATTTTTAATATTATTAACCATAATATTTGTCTATTTAAACAGACAAACTCTAAAATTGTGTGTAGATATATTCAGTAGTAGCTGGTAACAGTAGTCTGTCGATGGAAACTACTGCTGCAGCACTGACTGTTTTTATAACATTATAGTGTAATCATAGGCTATACAAACAGCACAAATTAAATAGGAAACATCTCACTACAACAGTGTAAAAAAGGTGACATTCTTCAAAAGTTTCCTAATGTTTAATGTTTAAGTCATCCAATCACCAATTTTACTGAACTGAAGAGTCTAACAGATGAATATTCAACAATGAAATGTTAAAAAAACTGAAAACAATGTCAACTTTTTATTTAAAACTGCAATTCCTCTACTAATATGCTCTAAATTTGAAGCTGAGTGTATATGTGTGTGTGTGTGTGTGTGTGTGTGTGTGTGTGTGTGTGTGTCCATTTGTAGGGTGTGTGTGTGTGTGTGTGTGTGTGTATCCATTTGTAGGTGTGTGTGTGTGTGTGTGTGTGTGTGTGTGTGTGTGTGTGTGTGTGTGTGTGTGTGTGTGTGTGTGTATCCATTTGTAGGTGTAGGTGTGTGTGTGTGTGTGTGTGTATCCGTGTGTGTGTGCGCCCATGTCAGTTTGGACAGCTGTACTTTATCAGTCACAGTTAGGGGAAAATAAACCCACTCCTTAACATCAGTCTGATCCCACGGCCCCTGCTGCTCTTTCTACCTACCTAAACACACACACACACACACACACACACACACACACACACACACACACACACACACACACACACACACACACACACACACACACACACACACACACACACACACACACGTTCACAACTAATAATACACTTCAGGATCAACTGCATGTTGACTAAAGACATGTGCCACTGTATTCTACAGAGGCCTGCCATCTGTTATAGAAGCAGGACATTGAGACTAAACCCGTACTGCAGGTCAGGCATACATTAAAACTGGGAAAGTGTACGTTTTTTGGATTTCTTGGTTACATATAACTTTTGTTTTAACAGCAGTAAAATGCCAATATTACGAAGTGTAAGGGTTTGTTAAATGCTGCTGATATAAATTAAATTTATAAAGAAGCCCAGATGTGTTGACCGCTTTTTACATGCAAAATACCTAAAAACGTGTAAAAAAGGTAAACCAAATGTTGAGAAATTCTGAATAGATAGCACATTTTTGTGGTCTGATGAAGCAATCCCAACTCAAGGTCCACATACTAGCTTTTCCCAGAGCTTTCAGTCGCATGTTTGGTCAAACTACTATTTCCAAGATCAACAATGAACCTGAGACAGGGGTCTCAAACTCAAATCGGCTTGGCACTGCTGGTACTGTCAACTAATAGGAGGAGGTACTACAAGAAAGCGCAATATTCTGAAACGTTCCATTATTGACATCATACTTAACAAAAAACAAAATGCAAACGTTTCTATACCTTTTCACATCATTTTATATCATCTTTGTTGTTCATAGCCAAACAACAAATAAAACTCCGAAACCTGCTCTCTTCTTATCAACCATTTGTGCACAATGCAGCCAATCGAAATACATTTTAAAAAATAGAATTGTGTTTTTATTTAAATTCTATATGAAGGGGTAGTTTAAATCGATATGAAACCACTAGAAAAAATAATTAAAAACTAATATCTTTTGTGGTGGATTATATTATATTTTTTATGTCGGAGGTAGGGGGATGGAGAAAATGTTAGAAATGTCCCCCTGGCTGGCAGTTTGAGATCCCTGACCTAAGACAGGGACGAGAATTCTCCCTCCAGTGATGAAGACCAGGTGATATGATTGAAATGCTATGAAATTCAGTAGGCCTATTATTGTTATATAAATCTACTTTTCAATTAAACCCATTTATGGAGGCACACTGGTAGCTCACTTTGTAAAGTGCACACCCCATGAATTAAGTCCTTACCGCAGCGACCTGGGATAGATTCAACCTGTGGCCCCTACACTGCATGTCTCCCCACTTTCCTGTCTGTCTTCCTTTCTAATAAAAGGCAGTAAAAGCCCAAAAAATAACATTAAAAAAACCAACCCCATGTTCTCACTCCTTTCATAGGTCTGACAGTTGTACCTGTATGGTAGTTTTTGTTGATGCTGCAGTGCTGACCCAGGAAAAACATGACCTTGCATATTGGCTGGATGCAGCTGAGCTGTCTCATCCTTTTACTTTCACCTTATTTACACAACAGCAGGGGACATGCAGACTGGACAGAGGCCAAGAGAAAGGGAGGGAGGAGACGTCATAGAAGGAAGGGAGTACTTTTTTTTTTTTTTAAATACTCAAAAGAGAAAACGAGGGAAATTCTTGTAAGACATAAAATATAACAAAAGGATGATGAATGGATGAGGGCTCTATGTTTTTGCAAAGAGAGAGCAGCTCTAACAATGTATTGAGAAAACTACAATTCATGATACATAGCAGGAAAAATAGATCTGCGCCTGAATGTTTCACTCAAAAGGTGTCACAAATGGGATTTGGAGAGACACTGAAACATTGCCTCCTCGGATAATTGATCAACTTTTATCAATCAGACATGTCTCTGTAGCTCCAGCAGGGTCAGTAACATCTAACAGTCCAAACCAGTAGGCGTGCTGTTTCTAAAGAGTGAGTGATGCATGAGTTAACAGCAGGGAAGAACTAAGGACATCATATCTGCTTGTGAGTGGTAACCTGATTTTATAGTCAGTAGACAAACACTGGTTTCTCATGCTGCAGTAGACTGTAACCTAATTGCATGTGTGATTAATGAAAGTATTCAGAATATGATTCAGTTGTTTTAGTTTTGTGGCAAATGGATACACAAATATTGGTTTCCTGCATCCTTTCTAACAGCTTTCTATCACATACACATAGTAATTTTTTACTGTAAGACTCACCACAAAGCCACGCCAAACACGTTTTAGTGAGTACAACATGACTGACACGCTCTCAACTCACAAACGCTCCCAGACACACCCACAGACATACAATCTCGCTCACCCTGGCTCGTCGAGCATGGAGATGTGTAGGGGAAGAGAGGGATGAGCGGGCCAACGGTCTGCTGCGGGTCAAGGGTCGCGAGGGGCGCCTGGTCAGTGGCTCAGGTTTGTCTGGAGATCTGGACGTTCCCTGAGCCTGACTCTGTGCTCGGCTCGCCATCCCTCCCACAACTGTTGCATCCTGGGGGGACAGAGAGGAAGAAGTCAGATGGGGTGCAGAAAAGGTCCTTCTGTAGCCCAACATAAGATTATAAGGCTAGTTGAGACTGACTGGTCTTTCCTAACCTTGGACACAGCAGTTGCCCATCCTGTAACATCTAAGCCAGTATAAGAGATCACAGAAAAATATAAATATAAATTTGATAATCTACTGATCATGTCACTGACAACTGGTTGGGAAGATCAAGAGTTATGCATAAAGCCAGTCAGCCAAAAGGTACAATAAAATAAGATGTATTACTTTCACACATCTGCACTTCATCCAGCATTGCCTTTTAAAGATCAGTATAAAAGCATGAATTCAGTTTGTATCCACTGGTTAAAGTGTCACCATGAACCTCTTGTTTTTCATCATAATGCTGTCAAGGCTACTGACACACAGTTTAAAGTGTTGCCCATTCTTCTCATTTATTTTCTTGTTACCTAATTCAACACATGCTGTAGCCCCTTTAATATCAGTGTCTATGTAGCTGTGTGTTTCCTCCAGTTTCTTACCCCAGTCCCTGTCTTCATGTCACCTGCCTCTTCAGCAGCTCTCTGTATCTACAGTATGATTTCTGTGGAGTATTTAGTGGTGTTGAGGGGTGAGTGTTTGAAGATATAAGACACTGCTGATGATGTGTCTGCCCTTCTCTCATTCTGAAAAAAATCCCCCAACCTGATCCAGCGCATCCTCGTCCCCTCTGTATTTCCGCTCAGTAACAACACTGGAAAGTCCATCCCATCTTAACCTCGTGACTCAACTACTGTACACACTTCAGTGGGAAGACCCGCCGCTGTGCTTCCCGCTCTCCCCTCCCGCCGCCACACACTGGGCTGATAATATGGATGTGTGTGCCAATGTGAGTGTGAGTGAAGGAAGAATGTCTGTTTCTGTAAACAGCATGTTTTTTTTTTTGTTTTTTTCAACCAAGAATCCAATCCTCAGATGCATGCACAGAGAGACACATTTTCCCTTCATCACAACACACAATGAGTGGCTGTGTAGAAAATTCCCTTTCTGACCCTGTAGAGCACTTCCATCATAGAGATGGCATGATACTGTTGCTAATTTTCTAACTATGCAGTCACAGTTAGATAACAACATCAAGGACACTGTGTCCCCAAAACAAAGTACAGCTCAAACTGGAAGTCAGTCATCAAAATTTCTAATTTTGGCATTTGTTTGCGAGCGTGTTTCCACATTTAACTAGTAGCTCTTATGGGGGTTTGTTTGATTCACTTTTTTTTTTTTTTTCTGTTACGCTATTTATTTTTTAACCAAAAGGAATTTAACGAAGAAAATTCCCACAGTGGAAAGTCCATCTATCATGACACAAGTCATGCTAGCAGCTGTGAGGCTGTTTTTAGGCACAGCGGTGCTTTGAGCTAACATTCGTAGGCTACACTGACGACACTAACGTACTGATGTTTTACAAGTGTAATGTTTACCATATTCGCCATCTTAGTTCAGCATGTTAGCATGTTAATCAGCACTAAGCACAATTTTTTTTACAGGTATTTAATTATAAACCAAAGTACTGGACATACTGAAAGCCTACTCGCTGACATGAATGTGTGTGCCAAATTTCATGAGAAGTCGTTAATAGTTAATTTTTCTGTCAAAGTTTTGGACCCACTGTCCAACAGACTAATTGCCATACTAAGACATTAGCAAATATATTTCTAAAATAGAAGAATTAAGGGGCTTTTTCAATGTAAATAGCAGAATGAGAAAGGGATTGTGGTTAATGGATATTGTCTGATTATAGGACAGTGAGTGAGGAATGAATTAAAAGATAAACAGTAAATACTGTTTGCAGTGAAGACAGTTATTTCATCATTTTTTTCTATATTAAGCCGATGACTTGAAATGACAAATAGCTTTTGTTCTGACTACTGAATTCAGCTGTTTTTAATTCAAACAATAAATCACTCTCTCCCGCACCCAACCCTGAAGGCCTTTTTACTGCCAAAAAAAGAAAAAGTCAGGCATTACCCCTCTGGGCAGGGGTCATTTAATCTTTATTACCCTATAAATATTTGACATTTTTGGGATAAATGGTCTCTTCTCATCTTCCACTATAAGGCAGGCAGCTGAACTGAACATTTTCATTGATTTTACTTTTTATTGATCCCCATATTGTTCTGTATTGTCTGTTCTACCTGGATGGGTCACTGCAAAACAATCTATCCCCATTGCAAATAAAACTGACTTATGTGTTACATAAAAATACCTGATTTAGAATGTGATGCACAAAGTTAAAAAAAGGTCTTTTTATCGCTGTTTTTCTTGCTTGCCAGACAGTTTGATTAAGATTAGCTTGATTAAATACAGCCGTTTTATATGAATTCCTAAAGTTCTGTGCTGTTGGTTTAAGAGCTATTTGAGGTTACCAGATTTACACTTGGTAAGCATAATGAGGCAGCTGGAATGCTCTGTGAAATGAGAGCAGAGGAGCACAGCACAGGAGCTATTTACAAACTCTGTTCTTCTTCCAAAAATTATGTTAAATAAACCTTTAAAATAACAGTAAGCTGGTATGAGCTCAGCTCTTACTATCTTTGGTTTCTGGAGGATTGATTCTGTTTCCAGATGGATGCCAGACAAGTCAGACACTGCCTGATTTATGAAAGGCTTTAATGGCGGAAAAACAACAGGCCTGGAGACCATCCAAACTATTATTCTTAATTAATCTACCTCATATTAAAGAGGGGCAGAGACTGCAAGCCTTGCAACTCATTACCCTGAGTAGGCTCTCTGTCCAACGTGTGTGGTACACTGTATGATGACTTCATGGTACATTCTGCTTGAGTGTGTGTGGCCACAAATGGTATGGTGTAAAGTATTGCTAAATATACTTTTTCTGAAAATTAAATATATTACAGAAAGTTATGGCACTTTGATCAAACTGTGATTCAGTCAAATCAAAAACTACATAATTCATGTCATCCATTTTTTATTTGAATTAAAAGTTCATGCAAACCTTTATATTTATCTACTTAAAGTGCCCTACTTTAAAACTCTTGTACAGTCACAGAAGCACATCAGACAGACTCGCTAACTTGAACTTGAATGATCGACTCATGTGGAAATAAGATTTTTCAGTCCTCATAAAAATCAAGATTTTCAGTCTATATTTGAACTTAAAGTTTTAAAAAACTGAAGAGGAGATGGACAGAAACAGAACAATTACAGAAAAGCTACACTTAACACTATCTTCCCAGTTTCCCGGTTTCTTGGTGATTCAAATAAAATAGTTTTCCACTAAAAAATTAATTTCATAATGTTACGAGTCCCCATTTATCATTGATAACTTTTGAGTAATTATCATCAAATATTTGTATTCGTCAGTTCGAAGTTAGTAGGGCTATTAGATGTAGTCCCCTTGAACAGATTCTTCTTCTTTCAGCAAATGATACATACCATAAAGAACATTAGGACGTCTGCATAAAATGACATCCTGCAGAAATCATGCATTCAATTTTATACTCACCAAGCAGTACTGTTTCAGCAGTATACCTAGTACACGTATATGAAAAAAACATTCCCCTTTCACATTTATGATGGTCCTGTTCGTTGTTCTTTTAGTTTTTTATCTTTTGTTCATATGTTTTCATCACTACTCATATCCTTTGCTCCCGCTAAAGCACTAAAGCCTGTTTAAAGCACCATGTAAATAAATCAGACTTGACTTGATACTTGACTTACCGTGGTGCCCTGCCGCTCCTCGTCAGCATCGGCCACGTCTGCATGGGAGGAATTAGCACTTTGGGATTCCTGGATCCCCTCATTGAGGTGATCCAACTTTTTCTTTAGCAGGGTCATGGAGTCACACGCAGCAGCCTGAAAGACACACACACACACACGCAGGTAAATATGGCTGAAGGGCAAACTCTGGGGTTAACCTTGCACTGAGGCCTTTCATATATGCTGGAGAAATCTGCTGAACCCACACACTCCTCTTCCTCATCCACCTACTCCACCCTTCATTGCCTACAGGCTCTGTGCAGATTAACATTGTGCTTTCTCAGCCAGAGCAGGGGTACACAGTGTACCCTGCACTGCGGAGGAGGTGACACCTTCACAGTGAGAGTATTGTAGAGCAAGTAGTCTTTGGTAGAAGAGAAATACTAACGCCAAAGAAAGAAGAATAAAGTGCCTTTAAACTATATAAAAACAGCAATGTGGCCATTGCACGTGATGTAAATGTGTTGTAATACCGGTCTATTCCATACAGCTCAGTTATGCACATACTTAAAACCCCTCGGTTTCCCTCTCTTTCCTCTCCACCCATTGGTCATGGATTCTGACTGAGACACTTGTTCACTGGCCTTCCAGGAAATGAACAAACTGCTTTGTTTCTGGGCTCCACTGCCAATCCCAGAGTCCCAGAGGCTGATAGCAGCACATAGGGCCCCTTTGAGGAGCTCGAAGTCCAAAAACAGCCCCCTCACTCACACACATACATGCATAGACACAAACATGCCCACACCAACCCTACCCAGCCACCCACCCACCCACTCACGCACACAAACACACCCTTCTGTCCACTCCCATTCCCAAACCCATCACGCTGACCAGTTTAAAAAATATCTGCAGTAACTGCTTTGGCAGTAAAGCCATTTCCTGTGTGTTACAGCCCCCACATCTTCAGATTCCTACACACAGGAACACAGAGGGCTGTCTATGTGCAGCAGGGTGCTATTTTTACCCTCACTATGGGGGACAGAGCCAGGGCGAGGGGAGAACACAGGGAGTGGAGGCTTTCCAGGGTGTATGAGTGACTGCAAACACACAGAGTGGCACGTAAATGTGCACACCATGGCATACACACACATTTGCACACTTACTTTTCACAGCAGAGTGCTCTCAAGTTCATGAAATGTTAATGGGATTCTGTCCAAAGTATTTACTTAATGCATCACTATATCTCTGCTACAAGACCATTTCATTATTTGTCTGAACTATCTTGGAAAGGCTATAACACCTATTATCATGATACATAAGTCTACATATGAATAATTAAAGATATGTAGGCTACACTTGGATTGTAAGTGTGCTCTGCTGATGAAGGACAGGGGAGTTATGAGATCCCACCAATGTGCTGCAGAGTTTTCCCTTCATCTAAATCTTGGTGAAATAATTAACTATGTATTTTCAGTTCTCTCTCTTTTTATCTGATGAACCAAAATGTTATCTTATGAGCAGGGCTGTTGTCAGCGCAGTTTAAGTCCAGTCCAAGACAAGTCAAACCTGCAATAACAGATTTTTTGGGCCATGTGAAGGCAGTGGAAACAAGTTGTAAACATGATACTGACATACCTTTTAAGTTGATATGGTAAGGCAACAGTTGCTTATTTACACATTAATAGCCATTATGGATTATCATTAATTTGGGGTTGTGAATCTGGTAATGATGAATTTAAAAGTCTAATATTCTTCTAGCTCTGTGTTTGGTCTCTACCAACTTCTGAGATAATGATTTGGCTCTAATTTGTGCAGTGGATTTTTAGAGCTTTTTTCTGAGAAAACAGCTGCTTTGTGCATCCAAATGTTATAAGAAATCAATTACATTTTCTGACCAGAACTGTAGGTTGTCAAGTGACAACTGTCACATTTTCACATTGTTATTGTAAAATATCGGTTATGGCTGCTTTAAAGAGAAGTCAAAAGGGAGTCAAGACTATGTAAGGACTGAAACTGACAAAAATCAAATCATCTACCTAGACCAAGCCTGAAGTAGGATTAACAAGTTTCACATGCAATATTTGATTCTGTTATTTAGGAGTGAGGATGTTTTCTACCTCCACAATAACAAACAATAATCTGGATTTAAACATGTCATAGAAACAGGAAGTCTTAAATGGCTGCTGTCTATTATGAAGTAGTAGACATGTAGTGTAATTTGAAATTTGTCTTCCAAATCCAGAGAAGACAAAATTCAGAGAGGCATGCATTACAGTGTGTCATAACATAAGTTACTAACTGGTTGCACTATATGTCTCCTGGGAATGTAAGAAATTAATCTCCAAATAACACCTTTATTTATCTATAAAAAAAAAGATTTGGTAAGAAAAAAATAAATCTTCCTGAACGTCTTCAAATGTTCTTCAAATGTGAACTGGTTGAGATGATAATGTGCTCATCAAGGCTGAGATAGGGGTCGAAAGAAGAGATCTCGACCCAAATATTACAGCCAAACTCATTTAAATTGCCGTTTGATAACTTGTTATTTAAATTTTTTATTTGGCCACGTTGTTACCCACATTGTGGAGTGTGACGAAACTGCCTGAACCAAGATATTCCAAGAATGTGGAACCACAATGGGGCCTCTTTAACTTAACAGGTATTCAAATGAGCACTGGCCTAAGCCGGTCAATAAGTGACTTTAAAAGCTACTTGGTCAAACTCTGAGAACGACATCACAAAAGGAGCACGGAGAGAACAAATCCTTTCATTTCAGTCCAAGAGGGGAGAACAGTGTGCAGTGTGCCAGAGGACTGTTATGGGAACGTGCCAGCAACTGAGGGCTGCTCTGACAGGTGTGAGAACACGGTCAGGGGCATGCTCACACTAATGGATGCCCGCTGGTACAGTGCATGCAGGGTGGTGGAGATGCCAGGCCAGGCCAGGAGAAAAATGAGAGGAATTTATGATTGAAGGTATACATGCCAACATATTCCTTTTTATTTAGATCCTGCTTTTTTCAACAGTTCTCAACTAATTATCTCCAAATGTTTTGGCAGCATATATATATATATATATATATATATATATATATATATATATATATATATATATATATAGGATAAAAAATTATTACAGCTTTGCAACTTTTTGCAACACTAACAGACAGACAGACAGTTTTGTTTAGATTGTTTTCACCTCTACTTCTCTTGTACAAAAGAGAAAAAACTGATGCGAAAAAAGGGAGAGGAAGATGCCTAGCCAGAATTAAACCAGAGACATTGCTACTACATACTAAATATCTTCTGCATCTTGTTCCTTTAATGGATGGTGACAGCTGAGGGGTGGGGGGGGGGAATGACACAACAAAGGGCTCTGGGTCGGACTTGAACCCATGGCCACTGCAACAAGGACTCAGCCTTGATACACAGGGTGCCAGCTCTACCAGGTAAGCTATCTGAGCAGCCTGCGTTCAAGCATCTTTAAACACTAATCCACCAGGTTGCTGCAACTATCCTACCACAAGATACTGTGCGGTATACAGTAGGCCTATGTATTGTATTTATGATAATAATATTTACAGTTACACTATTTAAAATATTTGGAAGACACTTGAGATCCTCAATTGAGAAAATACTACAAGCAACAAAGAGGCATTCAAGAGGAAACAAGCTCATGCTGAACAGTTTGAAACAATTTGTCATTGCTACCCTCTAGTGGTGGAAGTAGGGTTCAACATTAAAAAAAACTTTTTTCACTGAGGATAATAATCAGATCCTTTAGGTTAGTACCAATACATTAATATATAGATGTAAAGGTCCTTCATTCAAAAAAAAGTATTATCAATAAGATGTACTTACAGTATCAAAGTAAAAGAACTTGCTTTGCAGTAAAATGTCCCCTGTGATTGACATGTTATCATATATGACATTGTTAATGCTGATGCATCGGTATGTAAGTAGTATTTTACTGTTGTAGCTGGTCGAGGAGCTAGTTTTAACTATTGTATATACAGCCTGAAGATAAACCTCAGCCACAAAGGTCTTGCAATGATTAATGGGAGAGGAACGTTTTGCTACGCAAATCTGTATTCATATTTCTGCCGTTTTCTCTAGTCTGTGTATTTTGTAAAATACTGGATCATTTGAACAGTTATTAAATGAAACAATCTGAATAGTTTGGAGGAGAAATGTCTCTCTTGGTAGAACTAAGGACATAGACTAGAAGCACTGACTTCATCTTAAACAATGTATCTTATAAGCTTATCGTTGTTTTTTATGTGAGGTAATTAGTAGAGTATAGCCGTCAGATAAATGAAGTGGAATAAAAAATATATAATGGTAATATTCCAGTATAAGTACCTCAAAATTATACTGTCACATTGTCTGTCTTACTGGGACACTTGAATAAAAACAGAGCCACCGTTAATCTTATTAATAAAGCCTGTTCTTTTCCTACAATGACGAGACAAAAGTCCGCTGTGAAAAAGGCCCGTCTACATTACATTTCAATGTAACACAAGCATGCAGCTACCGAACTGCTTTCTCTGGCAACTCTCATATAGTGAATAAGACTTCTTTGTTTCTGTTATCACTCTCCTCCTGTCTTGTTTTTCTTACCTGTTTTCCATTGTTCTGCTCTGTATCCTGTTCCTCCTGGCTACCTGCGACCCCAGGTTTGCCCTCGTTGGTGGGCTTTTGCCAGCCAGATGCAGTGCTGTTAGGCTGGGCATCCTGTCTCTTCCTCAAACCCTTCCTGTTCTTGCTCAAGTTTCTACGGTGCCGACTGACCAAGAATTCCTTATATTGTAACGTCTCAGGAAAATCATCCTCCTCATCGCCCTCTCCCCCTTCAGTGGTGGATGAGGAGGACTCCCCGCCATCAGAGCTCTCACTGGCAAAGATCACCTGGTTGTCAAGGCTATAATCATAATCACAGAACACAATGGCACTTGGCTTGTGCTTAACTATTCTGAGCAGATCCAATGAACAATCCTCTGGTGCATTCACAGATACTGGCAGATGGTTGAAAGTACTTTCACCCAGGGCTGGTGGATAGGCAGGAATAACCTCATTGGATGAGGAAATCTCTATGGGGCTCCCTTCTTTCTGCTGATGTGATACGGCTCCACAATGTTTCAAATATTTGACAGCTTGACAGCCCAGTTCTGACACCTGTATGTCCCGACATGTTTCAGGAGCCACGTCTGAACTGCTTTCATGGTGTACATTCTGCTTTAAGTCGGGATTGGTAGTGGGGGAGCTGATGTCCATCTTCAGCTCCTTCCATCGTTGAGCATGACTGGCCACGGGATCCGGAGCACAATGTAGCAGAGGAACAGGTTCAGACATGGTTCTCCGTTTGCTTTTTGAGCTTTTAGTCAGGAGGGGAACTTGACCTTGCAGGTCACCCAAAGAGACACCCACAGCCTGAGGGTAAATAGGCCTGTTTGGTTGCTCCTGAACAGACAATGCAGCTACTGGACCTTCATGCATCACTAGGGAATGAGTCCTCATCTGTTGAGTCTTTTATAGTGGGTACAGTGGTGGCCCGTTTAAACAGAGCCAAATGAACCTTAAGTTAACGTAAAGCTGCTAAAATGGAACTATGAGTGGATATTTACACTTCGGCCCACATCTGTATGCCCCGGGAAATTCTTTTAATGGCTGAGCTGGGAGAGAAAAAACAGGCACAGAATATAAATTTGGGCAAACTGATTCATGTTGCACACTAAGGATACATATGTATGTATAATTCAGTGTCATTTGCCTCTGTAAATTGATGTATATGTCTGGATTCACTCACTAATTCCCCCCCTGGGATCAATAAAGTATTTCTGATTCTGATTCTGGAGTCAAGTCTGGTTTTGCTTATAGACTTAAGTGTTACGCTCAAGACGGATGAAACTGCTGCTTAGACAGGTTTAATGTCATTCAGTGATCAATAATTTTCCTCACTAGTCAGTTAATTATGTAAAATATTTCAGAAAAAATAAATTTCCACTGTTTTGATACTGTGAATACTACTATAAGCACTAGATGTGAGTTCCATTGGATATTTGGGGGCAGAACTATCATAAATGTGATTGGCCAAAGTCATCACAGTTTGTCTTTACAAAAACCCCACAGAGCAACACCCTGTAACTCAGGCATTTGCATTTTGCTCAAACACATTGTTTTTTCCTGATGGATATTTTTGGCTACAGCCAACACACCCTTTCCTTGCCTTGGATGTTTTCTTTGTCCTTCAGATATACAGCTGTGGGTCTTAAAATTAGGTTAAAATCCTGAAAATTCTATTACTGTAAAACACAGACAGCAGGTATATGTAAAACATACGAATCCTTTCCAAAGAGTTTCATATTGCGCACTTGCAAACAAAGAGGCATTTGTTCCCATTGTGTGAAGGCCATGTGTCAACTCTGTGAAAAATATTACTGCAAAGTAACTTAATAACATCTCAGTGTCAATAAAAACTCAATAATTGCCATAATAGGAGCATTTGAAAGTGTGACAGGTTTGTTAAAAAGGATGCTTTATAAAGAAACATAGGATTAATATTTCAACATACCAGATGTTTTTGTACAGACGTTGTATCATCCAAGAACACATCCAACACAGCAGACTGAAGAACCGGGAGGTAACGCAAGTATCCAGCCAAGACATCTCAGCGCTTCTATGGTGCATGACACCGATAGTACAGAAAGAGTGACTTTACCTCTAAGGAAGATATGAAATGCTGTGAGGGGAGGAGAGAAAAAGACAGGGTTGAGGAATGCTTTTCCCTCCTACATTACCTCAGCAAGAAGACAGCGAGTTCCACAGGCAGGTGTTTGTGCTATTTGTGCAAGTGTGTGTGTGTGTGTGTGTGTGTGTGTGACTGTTATTTTGCATGTGATTGCAAGCATGTGCAAGAGAAAAAAAGGATAGATTATGCACTCAGAGCATACAAAGTTTTGTTATGGAAATGATGAAACAGATTAAATAGCTGCACGAACATAAGACTTAGACAAACAGACTTTGATTAAAAGGCTCGGGGTCTGTGGTGCACCTTTCCCCCTCCCATTCCTCCTTTTCACTCATTGCTGTATAATACGGCTCGGGGCAATGCATTTTTCACCTGAGAAGCACATTCCTTGACAACACATGAGGTAATGCTTTAAATGTGTTCTTATCCTCTTTGAATCTCTCTCGGTTCATACTTTTTGTAACTACAGCAAAGCTGTAAGCCCTGATCAACAAGAAAAGGACTTATGGGCTTTAAAAAGCTGTCAGTGAACTGTGGAATTCCTCAAGTTTGCCAGCAAACATTGAATTCATGTTTTGAAGGGAATGTCTTTGGTCAGGGGTAGAGACCTGCTATTTGTGTGTTAACCTTGAGGAAGACTGCCTGTTGAGGCCTGTTTGACCCTCAAGGTCTTGGCTGAGAAGGGATCCGGTCAAGGTGGAGGGAGAGTTTAGAGGGAAGTTGTTCTAATCTGAATTGCTTTCTGTAATGTCTCCTTTACCCAGAAGAACATGTTTTTCGCAGAACGTAACTATCCAGAAAGCAGCAGAGGGATTTGCTAAGGTATAAATGTGTTTGCAGTAATTCATCTGAATGTGAATGAGCTATGTTTGCAGGATTATTACAAAATGACATTTGAAAAAATATTAAGTCTCTTCAAATAAAATGATCAGTATGATAATTGACCATTTATCTTGTTGTGAACTTCTTCTGCTTGGACATGGACAATAAATGGTTTTCACAACAATGTGGTTTATAACTGTCAAAATAGATTTTTTTTTTACATTTGGTTTGGTTTGTGGTCCTTTCATTTGATAAAGTGTCAAACAAAATGACCACAAACCAAATGCCATTGTAAGATTCACATTTTTCTGGCAAACTGGCCCCTTAAAATACTTTTCCTCCCCAGTAGAAGCTGCTGTTAAAAGACCATCAGCATTAGCACAAGCTGAACTATCAGGTGATTAATACAATTCATGAGTCAAACTGATACTTATGAATGAAATTCATAAGTCATCTTACATGATTGAACATGATAAACTTCACCCACCACCCACCATCTGTCCTAGAAGTTATACTGTCCTTCATTGCTGTGATGATGGATGCATATTAATTTAACTCAAACATCTATTTCAATACAAGCTACGCCAACCTGCTGAGACACGCTCCTCCATATATAACATTCCTGTCACAGAGAGGTGTATTTACCCGGGTCAGGTTGAAGAAAAGCAGGGCATAGAAAAAGAGTAGAAAGAAAGACAAGGTGAGATTTGACAGGTATATACAGTATACACACAATAAAACAATTAGAAAAAAAAAACAGTGAGTTCCTATAAACGCAGTCTTTTTAAGTTCCTCTGAGAGAAAGCACATAAAAACACTAGAACATCCACACTGGATTATGTAAACTGTATTATCTTGACTGTGTGCACTGTCGATACTGTGTAAAACGTGAGAGACAATAAAACCTCATTTTGACAACAAACATTCACATGCATGTAGTCAGATAAGAAGAATGTGCTTTCTAACTCTATCACTGCATGCCAGAAAACATGGGATTAAAATTCTGCACTTTCTTGCCTGGAGAGGGAGGAAAAACTGAACCAGATAATAATTTGTTTGTGTGTTAAGTTGTTTTCATTTTTTCAGACTGTTATATAGACAAAAATCAGACTGTTATATAAACAAATGTGTTGTTCAGATGGTGATCACAAAATAGCATTCAGTAAGACACTTAGAGAGAAGCTTCTAGTATATATCCTAGCAATAATCACACACAATCAGCTCACACCTTCTCGTTATGGCATGGCATGACAGCACGGTGACACTGCTCGCTTTTGTTTTCGTTGCTTGGGATTAGCTGTTTCACATTCCTTGGTGGTATCATTGTAGCCTCGCTGTCTTCAGTGTAAACACCTGCACATCTGCTGCCACAAAGAAAAGATGCTATCCCTCAAATTCCATTTAAGATACAGCCAGATTAACTCAATAGTGTGCACTGCTGGGTCCCTTTTAACCCCTCATTTCCCCCTCCCAACAAGACAAATGTACACACCAACCTGTACTTATAGCTTACCTGGACATAACAACAGGCATCATGCAGGAATGACACTGGTGGAGGTCATCTCTTGTACACCTCAGGAGAGGCACATATTTAAACACCAAGGATAATAACTGTGGTTACATCATGGACATCTGTGTAGCTGAAGCTCCGCAGGATCAAGCTGTTGCCCTTCAACATGAACAATGCAAAACTAATGTGGAATTCATTATAACAGGGGTTTACCAGCTTTTTCTTGTAAAGGATCCCAGCAGGAGATGTACATTAGGTTTTTTAGGTTTCAAGACTCAATCAATGATCAATCTGGGATCACTATAAATTACAATCAATAAAAAGGGCCACCCCTATGTCTTTCCTTGTGGTTCCAACTTCCAAAAAATGTGATAAAAGTTAAAATATTCCACTCCTCCTTTTGCTGGGGACCCCCACTACACCCCCCACTCAAAGACCCCTGTTGCATTATAATATACAAGTCTGTCAGACAGTTATAAATACTCTAATCATTTACAGATAAATGACTGCTATTGCTGGTGGAGCACATTTTCTCCACCTACTGTACTCACACGTTTGTTTATCGCGATGAAAAAGTGACATTACAACCCGCGTGTAGCAGTTTTGACCCGTTCGACTCTCCGTAGTTAAACAGGAAGCGGCAGCGCGGGTTGCGTATGTGAATATTTCGCGGGAGAGTAAAAAGCTCGCTAGCTGCAGGCTGTCTGCTGTCAACACGGACGATAACAGTCACTAAATCCACAACACAATGAGTTTGTGGCTGGACAAATATCGACCGACTTCCCTCGGGAAACTCGACTATCATAAAGAGCAAGCGACTCAGCTGAAAAACCTGGTGAGAGAAACTAATCTGTTCATCCAAGCTAAGATAACATTAGCATCACACTCAATAGCTGCATATTGGTTTTTTTTAAATTTTTTTTATAAACGTTTAATTTACTTTACCGAGAGAAATGATGCGCTGTGCGGATCAATCCTTGTTGTCTTGAGTGTAAATATAATTTGGAGAGTCACTGACTGCAGTGTCCATCCTGTCAGACTTGTTTTGGGGTAACGTTAACCTGTAATATACAGTATATGTCACATCATCTGAGGGCAGCCATTGTTAGATTCAACTCACAATGCCTACCTGTTTCTGAAAGGTTGCTTTCATCAAATGTTGCTTATTTGTAAAAAAAAAAAAAAAAAAAAAAAGCGAATGGAAAATGGACTGTACTTGTATAGCGCCTCTCATACCACATTCACCCATTCATACACATTCATACCCATTCATACAGTGATGGCAGAGGCAAAGGGACAAACAGAAACTATTGGTGTGTACCTTTTTAACAAAAGTGTATTTACAAAACGACAGCAGAAATATATGGACATGAGGACATGGATAAAATGCACAAACATAAAAGAAAGCAGGGAGACTAAAACAATAAAAGTTGGTTG